TTCAGAAGACCTCTCTTCTTCCTCTCGCAGCTTCACAGATCCATTCACATACTTTTTAATGGAGCTGCCCACCCGAACATTACCCGATAACTATATTGCTATAATTAAGGTTTTGCCATGTCTTTATGTACAGTCTCCTTCACTGCCCCTCAGGATTTTTCCTTAGGCAAGCCTCAACTGCTCACGTCACTCCAGGGAAACACACTTCAGAGGCACTGTGAGTGGTGGGCTGCAAAGCAACGCAACGAAGGCTGGACAGTGCCATGAGCTGGTGGCCAGAGACACCACCACACCTGTAGAGACAGGCGCCCTTGAGTGACCGTCCCCATCCTGAAAGCTCTGCAGCGCTGGGTAAGGAAGGGGCGTGCAAGATCTGCAAAAGTGGGGCCCCTCATCAGAGTATACTTCCTGGTTTAAAAAAAAAAAAAAGAAGAGGCTAAAAAATGGATTTGAGATTATATATAGTAGTACTTTCAAGAGATTTATCACAAAAGGAAAGAAGAAAAACTGGTTGAAAAAAGTCAACACTCATACTAGGCCTTTGTATCCAAGAGGCAGGCAGGAATACCCACAGCACGATATTTAATTTAGCTAGAATTCCTCATTCACTAGCAAAAAGGAGAGTGAGTCTGCCCAGAAAGAATACTGTGTGTCCTGTGGGGCTGTGTTCTTCACCTAACAGGCCAGAGATACATGCAGAGCCTGGCTGAGAGGCTCTGCTGTCTGCAGGGCGTCCCAGACATGGTGGCACTTCCTTAGGAACCTGGGTCCTAGGATCCCACTGTGCTATCCAGCATTTGGGCCATCAAACTGAGTGGATGAATCAGAAACAATTCTTAGGCCTATAAGCATTGTTCTAATGTATTCATCATTAAATGATCTGCTGTGAGGACAACTGACAGTTTATCTTATTAGGCCATGGCCTGGGGGGGCGGGGGTCACGGGCTACTCTATGTGGCCTACTGTGTGTTCCTAATTTTGAAAGAGTCTCCCTCTAGCAATGAATTCACTCAACAGGACTGGGTGGGGGTGAGGGGAGGACAAAATAAAATCAGCCTCCATTCACCTCTAGCCCTCAGGGGAAATTAACCCAAATATATATTTGAAGTACTATCCCTTCAAAACAAATCTCATTATCTAATAGGTTTAATTCATCCACAGGAAAATTAATTTCTTAAAATTCTGTTCTACTTTTCAGTTTATAAGGGTGGGTAAAATAAAAACAAGATTTATTTATTTTTGTTCCTTAAAAATTGAACTTTGATTTTAATCTATCAGTCCAAATACATTCAATAACAGCAATCCTCTCTCTCTAGTCAATCTTCTGGATATTGAAAAACAAAATCCCAAGTGCACTGCCATTCATCTGAAGTAGTAAGTCACAGGTAAATCATATCCTGTCATTAACAAAATGAAACAGGGCTGGGAAAGAATATGGGCGCACTCCCTCCAGCTGGCTGAATGTGCTTGGTAGGAGAAAGCATATTCCTGTGTTAAACCTCAAAACTGTGAAACAGCCAACATCCGCTCTGTGGACATTTGAAGCAATGTCTTTGCCAAGTATGAGACAGGCTCACTTTCCACTGTGGATTTGGAACTTTTAAGAAAAACTATCAACAACAACTAAAATAAGATAAGACAGTTCTTCTAAGCCAAGTCTGCCTCTAGGAGGATTTATTGTGTTTGCTTGTTCCTCCTAATTTGTTATCTTGAAAATCAGAAATGAGTTCGGCTTGCACCCCAGGTGAGAAAGTAGAGAGGGAAACCTGTGTAAATTGAAACTTGTCACAGTAGGCAGAATGATCGCTTTGCAGCCCAGGCCCACCTCGGGGTGCAGTGCTTCACAGCTACACTGTAAAGTGTTAAAAATCCTCCCACCCGCCCCAGAATATATATATATATGTATATTAAAAAAAAAATCCCCTGTCCATCTCTCAGTACACAAAAGGACCTCATCACACTGCAAAAATAGCAGTACCCACTTTGGTCAATTAAAACAAACAACAAACAAACAAAAAAAGCATACATTATTTTTTTTAAATCTGTGTACTTACCTATTATAACCAATACAGCTAAGAGCACTACCCACATAGGCAAACTTGGTATTGCATAATTCGTATAAATTTGAAACCCTCCCCCCAAATATTAATTGGAAGATGAAAAACATGAAAGGTTAATAGAAAAAACACCAAAATACTGAAAATATTGCTGGTCGATTACAATTTTTAAGCGGCAACTATACACAGCCATGATATGCTTTATAAATGTGAGATAAAGGTATAACTGTCTAAAAAATCCATGATGTCACACATTTTTCTTCGTCTGGAGTACAAAATATTTTGTCATAAAAATGGTAAAGATTTAAAATGATAATAAATGCAGCAAAACAAGTGTAGTGATGTCACTTTTTGTGTTTTTTTTTGTGTTTTTTTGTCTTTTGTTTTCTAGATTTCAAGGCAAGGCACGTAATGTGGACATTATATCTTCGTGCAAATTAGGATTACTGGAAAGATTATTTTTAATTAAAATTTTAAGAGACATAGAGGCAACATGTGTCTGCCCATGCACACTATGGATCTGTCAATACAAGAAATTTGTTGAACAAGGCTAATGTCTGTAAGCACCATGCAAGTTTCCAGCACCCTGATGACACTTGCTTCCTCAAGAGTGCGTTTTTATATCCTACACCCTGGCGTTCCCAGTTTGTAAACTGTAAGTTTTACCCTGGTGACATGGATTTGCCTGCCTCTTTGTCTCTAGAATGCAGATTTTATAGAACCTTTTGTACACCCTATGGGTTCTTGATGCAACCAGTAATTTTAAATAAATAACTCGACCTCCAGGGAGGCTGCAGCTAAGCCACCGACATAAGTGCTGTGTTTTCATTCATTTTTCCTCGAGCACATGATCTGTCTTGATTCAATGCCTTCTTAAATGCCCTCAAAACTGAGGGGGAAATAAATTCGTTCAAAATTATTTTAAATTCTTTTTAATCCCCTCAATTTAGAGTCCAAGGGCTAAAGGACTTTAATCATGATTCCCCTTTAGATATAAATTTATAAATTGCACTTGCCTCTGTTAAGTGTTTCTTTTGTGGGGAAAATATTATATTAATTTTTACTGTTGCATGCAGAGATAACACTTTACCTACATAGAGGCATTTCTTCCATAGAGCCTTTGAGTTCAAACTGTTTTTTGGTTTTTTTTTTCTATTTTTCTTTTTTTTCATTTTTTTTCTTTTTTTTTTTTTTTTTTTTTTTTTTTTTTTTTTTTTTTTTTTTTTTTTTTTTTTTTTTTTTGAAGATTCCAAACTGGGTTACACACTGGGAAAGGCTGGGTTAAGGGCCAAAATTCAATAAATCTGTACTGATAACTAAAGGCTACAGAGATTTTATATATTTTTTAACTTTTAGAAATCAGAGTGCTTATAAAATGGCTGGCTCGTGGCTCTCCAGCACCTTTGGCGCTGCCTCCTAGCCTTTGTTGGTGAGATAACCGGAACAGTGATTCCATGCGTAAACAACAAGAAGACTAAACCAAGAAAACTAGCTTATCATGCAAATATTAAGGCATCTAGAAAGTCAGTTAAAATATATTGTCATAGAGACAGAACATCTATTTCCCAGCGGACTTCATGTAACAAAGGCTACGTTGCAGGGGCTGCGATCTACCATCAGTGAAATATCATCGACCCTTGAATGTCATTATAGTTTCAACCTTAAGGGAATTAGTGATTGTAAGTGCTGCAGTTGCTGGTCTATCATCTTCTTTCTTCATTTTCTCTCCCTTCTCCCTTTGTTTTGTCCCGTCTTCCTCTTTTCCTTTTTTTGCTTTTTGTTTTGATTTTTTTTCCCCTAAATTTCTTAAACTATTGTTGCATTTCCTTTTCCCTCAGTTGCTCGTTTCTGCTTGAAGGAAAGGTTCTCCAATTATGTTCAAACCATAATTTTGGACATTTGCCGGTAGGATGGGTGTCCTATTTGACACTTGGAAAGGAACCAAGCTAGCCCAGGTACCAGGACTGTTGACAGAGGGGCAGTAGGGAGGGAGAGAGAAAAAGAAAAAACACAATGTTAAAATTTACAGCAGTATGAAAGGATAACATCTAGACACAACAAATTATGACTATTGCATTTTCAAAATTAATAATATGAAATAACTGTGCTAAATTATACACACTATACATACACTTTATGATCTGTTTATTTCATGGAAAGTGAGACCTAACTGAGATGCAGAGAAACGTGAATTAGGAAACATTCACAGTTCTTGAACTCTAGTGATTATGGATGTTCTTCTTAAAATATTTGATCCTCTTCACTTCAATGTAAAAAATGCAATATAATTTTTATTGTCCAAGAAAAGAAAAAAAGCAACAATTTACAATGATACAACTTCTGTAGTTTGCCAGATATATCAATCTTGCTTAACCTTTCATTCACAAGTCATTGGAGTAAATGGGTTTTATCTGCCTATTGGGTTAAATAAAATTTAAAAATGTAATGAAATGTATTTCTTTTTCCCTCACATGAGGAAATAACACATTTCAGGCAGGCCCATAGTATGCAATTTGAAATATCTATTATCAAACGTAACTGAAGAATTTTAGTAGATCAAATGAACATTTGTCCTGGACCACATGAGCCGGTTTTGTTCGGCTCTATGCAGAAGAAGCCCACTGCGGAGGACGCAGCGCAGGAGGCTGCCAGATCTCCTCTTGAGCGTCTGTTCCAAGACTCTCCAGTATTTTCCTACTCTCCTGCATGATTTCCTCTTAGTAGAACCAAAGTTTTCCTTTCAATTTATTTTTCCTTACACTGGCTGGCAACAGAGGCCTGAGCATTCCCTGCCCTTACCACCAGGAATGACCGCACATCTGAGGTCCTCTGAGGGAGAGCACAAAGAGGAGGGTGAGGGCCGAGCAAGCTTCCCTAGTCAGCTGTGCGTCAATCTATGTAGGATTTGAGATGGTCTAAAAATAAGTTTGAAAAACACTTCTCTAGTTGCTACAAGCATTATTTCTCATAAAAGTACCAGAAAAGGAAGGCCAGATTCACATACCATGAAACACCCCACACCAGACATTTTGGGGCCCACCTAATCACCTGTATTGTTTGTATCAATATTCAACTTGGAATTCATGTTAGCTAAGTAACAGCTGGGAAAATGGTCACTGAACTAGGATAACACCAAACAGACAAATCAGCCTGGTATCACAGTGGCTTGGCAGGCAGACATACTTTCAATGTTTTAAATGTAGTGTCCTTTGCCTTACTGTTGAAACTATAGGGCAAGATGGATACTGTTATTGCAGTTAGCCATCTACATACACTAATCTGTTCATGTTTGAGTCCCAAAGGGGGAAAAGCATCATGGAAAGTTAATACAAAGGAACAATTTTAGATTGGAAAAAAAACCCTTATATATAATCATTTTACTCTGAGGATATCTCTATACAAAACCTGGCTTATTTCTACCTGTCTAGGTATGTATTTCTCTGACAATGTTTCAAATAAAAAAGAATCACAATGACCTTTTTTTGTTCAAGAGGTTTTATGATGTCAAACATCACGACAGCAAAATTCATCTCTTGTCATTTCGTAAAGGACCTGGCATATGGTAGAGCACTATACAATTTTAGATGAGCAGATCAATTGAACTCACACCCAACTATTTTTTAAAAGTATTGACCTTAATCTCATGTATTTATAAACACACTGTCATTTGATCCCGTTCAGAGAAAATAGATATCTCTGAATTTAAAGTTAGAGATGCTCTGTCCTAACAAGTTTATGTAGGAAAAATAGCATTCCAACTTTTATGTGTTCATTGTTTGATTAAAAAAATAACTCTAAGAATATTGTTATTGAAATCTTTTCTAAGAGACTTAACTGTTTTCACACGTTGCTCTCTTCCCACACACATCTTCAGCAATTATTTCCGTAGTTTGCACCATTGATTGGGAACAATGTTACATAATGCATCAAGAAACTTATTTTCTCCTTAGTGGTGCTTCCTTTGCGCTTTGTACACAGCCCTATCACGGTATTTGTTATTCATACCATGATCATCCGCTCTCTGAAATTATCTCTCTGACTGAAAGGTGAACTCCATGGAGAAAATGGCCTAGTCTTATCTATCTTTATGGAGTCTGGCCATAGATGATGCTATTTCTTAACAGTAAGACAAATTACAAAATAGTCACCTATTATTTTTAACCTAAAGAAGCATGCATCAAAAGCAAAAGAACTAGCTCAACAAATAATCCCAGGCAATACAATTAACAACAGGCGAGTCACTGCAAAATCAACAAGAATCCTAAAATACGTAAGAAACTCATCTACAGAGCGAATGCTCTATACATACAGAGTGTATTTTAATGACTGAAACTAGGAGCGACTCCTAAAATTATAAGTCTACAGCTACTGGGAGAAAAGATAAGAACTTAAGGTTTAATTTCCAATTGCTTTTTTACTCTTATCATTCTTAAGAAAATGTCTGATAAAAAGAACTTAATTCTGGACTTTTGCTGCAGAACGTGTAACAAATTTAATTTAAATGTTTAGTTAAATCCTTAAACCTCCTAGCCTATGTTATGGCCATAGCAAAACAGTGGGGTGCAATATATTTATCAATACTGTTTATGAACCTTTGGGGGAAAGTAAATCTCAAACATGAACATGCAGACCCCGTATCTGAGTTTTACAAGCCTCTTACTGCCAACCTGTAGGTTCAGTTCACAACTATAAGGCATATTCTTTAGAGGGTTTTTTTTTTTTTCAGTTCCCTTAGGGGGAAAATCCTGATAAAAGTAATTCAAAACCAGTATCACAATGTAAAAAAAAATATTAAGTCAAATAAAATGATCTAGATCATTTAATTAGAAAAATCCTAACTAGCACCTAAAACTGTAAACTTATTCAAGTAAGAAGGTATCAACGCCACATTATCAATACAACCCTATCTCTAACACAAATCAATGCCAGTAATCACATATTTGTATGAAATAAATACATCTACACATGCAGATTAGCTACGTGTAAAATTCTTCCTGGTCTTAATTCATGGTAGAATTCTACCAATTATTTTATGTTCAATCCAACAAACTACACTTTGACTCGAAAGAGTCTGAACATAACTAAAAGGATTTAAAATAGTCAAGACCAACTGCAGACACTTTAACAATGTATCTTCAAGGTCACATTTACTTTGTTTTTAAACTTTCCAATGTCAAATAATCTTTCTTGAGGCAAATTCAAGATGAATCTGATTGATATTTGATAGCATATGTGTAGAAAACATGTACTGCCCATCATCATACAATGAAAGTAAAAGAATGAAAAGTAAGGCACAAAAACAATTCAAAAGATTTTGATAGGATTGTAAAGCAGAATCCAGCTCAGCCTGATGGCACGCATAATGACGTATCCTTATAAACAAAACACATCAAAGCTAACACAAAATTTCAAAAACAAAACAAAATGTCTCATATCTTGGAGAAAAAAGTCACTTTATTATGACCACTTATGTGAACTGGTTCTCCATGCAAGAGGAAGAAGTAAGTCAATTACTTTGACTTTATGATGTGTTCATGGTAGATGATGGCCCTGGTTCACTCTACACTAGGGGCACGTCTTTTTTAAGAAACTGACCAAATCATTTAAAGAAAACTTTGAGGCTAGCAGGAAGACAACTGAATTGGAAATAATTCAGACGTCTGCATGATTCAATGCACAGCATTAGCACAAATGGAGAAATTTCCAGACAATAACCATGCTGACGACCACTAAGAGCAAGGTACCATCTTTGGTGTTTTACATATGAATTCTTGAAATGGCCATTATCATCCCCATTTCACAGGTAAAGAAACTGAGGCCAATGTCCCACCTATCCCTCACATACTATCAGCTCTTTCTGAGTCCCATGGCCATTTCACTATGTACTGCCTTCTTACAAAATGAGATGCTAGACTATCCTTAGAAAGAACTTTTGAACAGTATTTTCTAAAGGCAAGCATTTGTCTCAAGAGACAATGAGTTTGCTAGGTGCCACGCAAACTATATCACGGCCTAGCCAATATTGCAGAAGGGGCTTGTGCACAGAGGCCAAGCAATATCAAATACCAAAAAAACCCTATCTTCCCGGGAAGCAGACCTAGTTCAGCCAGGGTGACATTATGGTGACAGCTCAGAGGGAAGGAGGTACTCACTCTTTAAAACTTGCTACCTGTATATTTCTTATTCAGGATAAACTGTATAAATCAGTTATTCTTTGCACTAAAGGAATAAATGGACTATTTGTTTTCCACTGAAAGAGGAAAAAGTTGTTCTTGGTACCAAAGCAACATCTGATGTAGTTATTTTTTAAAAATTCTTTTTTAATTCAGTGAGTGTGCCTTCGAGGCCAAAATGATTGGCTCCTTAGCTTTCAACTCAATAACCAACCAGAACTACAGGATGCCAAATACACACAGATGAAGTCATTAAGCTGAGACAGAACCAAAGTAAAAAACTTCACCTAGAGGCTGGAGAGCTGGCTCAGCAGTTATGAGCCCTTACTGCCCTTGCAGAGGACCCGAGTTCTGTTCCCATCACATACATGGCAGCTCACAACCACCTACAATTCCAGTTCAATAGGTCTGCCGCCCTCTTCTGACCTCTGAGGGCTCCTGTACATACATGGTGCACATAAACTCACTTAGGCACACACGCAAACACATAAAAATAAGTAAATACTAAAACCTCACCTGTTGTCTTAGGTCACTAAAACAGTAAGAGCTCTTTGAAAAATGGAAGAATTCACATATTACTAGTTGGTGTTCATTTGATAATGAATTAGGCATTCCAATTGGTTCATATAGTGTCAAGGTTCTAATATATAAATATCATTTTTTTTTAACTACAGGTAGATTATAGAAGAGAATCACTGACTTATGGCCTGTCAGACGCTCTGGGACTCCCCTGGAAGCATAACTCTTGAGGCCAACTTCAGCATGAGTAACTGTCCTTTCTTTGTCCAATG